TAGATTTTAAAAATGCTCTAATTTATACTGTATAGTCAAACCAAGAGTATTTGTCCTGTTATTTTCGGTCATTGGCACTTATAATTAAGCATTTTTTAAAAATATACAATGATGATAGTCTTCATTCAAAGTAGAGATCTTGAATTTACTGTTTCCACTGAGCTAGTTACTTCCTCAAATAAGCTTGAAACATGTAAGACTTAACAGATCTTTAGTCTTTTAAACACAATATAAAATCATTAAAATTATATGCGTGCATATATTAAACCGGCAAAATACAAATAGGATAGTATATATAGAAATTATTCTATGTTCAAAAATGAAAGCGGAAAAAAACCCTTGAACCTGCCAATGATAACAACAAATAACAAAAAAAAATATATAATAAAATATCAGAAATTATTTTACCATGCTCTTTGCGTTTTCTTGTTATTTTTTCTTTCTCTCTTGCAACCTAAAATTAAAAATCAAATCAATGAAATTATAAAAAATTTTATAAGAATTAAAATAAATTGATTCTATGAAAAATAAACGAAAGGAACGTAGAACTATTAAATTACTATTAATGAGTAGTACAATGAATGGCATTAATAAGCTCTATAATTAACTAAAGCACGACATATTTGAAAAGATAAATACAGTATAATGCATTGTAAATGATGAAATAAAATTTAAAACAGTCCCATCTCCACTTCATTTCTCATCATTACCAAATATATAGTGTTATATAACCTAAAAAAAATATATATCGAATTGTTCGATTTTAAAGGTTTAGTTTATGGCTCGACTACCAATTCAATAGTTCAGTGGATTAGTCTCTAGTCAGGATAACCTTAAGGGGAATAATAAGTGACAAGACTGAAAAATATGATGTATTTAGTAAAACAATGTTTATTATTTGTTAATAATTATAAGCATTCCTTTTTTGAGTTTGTCATCTGGTGCTGGAGGATTCGGCTTGGCGTTGTTCATTTATACTTCATAATTCCTTAATGACCTTTTCATATGTTGTTGTGGTTGCACAATGCTTCTAGATGCTCGTCCCTTGTCTTTGGGTCGAGTCTTCATGGTCTTATTTCCTTTAGTGTCCTCATACGATATGTCAGGAATTTACAAATTGTTCAATGCATGGATATGAGGTGATTGGACTAGTTGATTCTTCCCACAATTCTCTTGTGCTGCTTTATTGTTTCTTATTTCATAAACTATACAATATAATGAGCCTAAGATAATGTTTAGGAACGGTAACACTTGCAGTTCTGTGATATTTGCAACGTGGCATCAGCCGCACTATATAGAGGTAGGAGGTCATGAGTCTCCAGATCCTCCTTACATAGTGTGCGTGGTAATAAAGTATCACATGAATAGACTGTGTTGGCTGCATGTATCATCCTGTTGCCTGTGTGCTACTTGTACATTAATAGGATGTCTTTGTGTGCATACCTTGATTGTTGAGGATTTTTTCAAACTAAGTTCCTTATTGGATGAGTGACGAAATTTAATGATGATTTTCAAGCCACGTTGTATTGTTTGCTTTCCTCTTGATAGGTTTTCTCAAAAAGTTTTGATTAGTATAGCAGATGCTCTGGGTGCATCTAAGTGTGCATGGTCCTTGATGAAGACCTTATGTAATTCTTCGACATGTAACAATGTATCCTTAATTCATCTAAAGATATGTTTTATTGCAATGACTCACTTTCCTCAGCCAGTTTCTCCATTGATGCGTTATTAATTTAATGAGTTTGTGCCTTTCTCTATTATTCAGAGGGTAAGGGTGACAGTCAAGCGTTTTAGAGTGTTGATTCTCTAGGACTCTAAGTGTTCGAGTATTGGGCAGCTTCTTTCATGAAGATATTAGATCTAATATATTCATGATTATCTTGAACAGCTGATCAGATCATCTCCAGGTACGTATGTTCCTTAGTAAAGCCCTTGTGAACTTCTTTAGCAAATGAATACGAGTCTGAGAGCTCTTCTGCTGTGATGTCAAGTTCAGATACAGCATATTTTCCACAAGGTTCTGTAATATTTTGAATGCGATTAGACTATGTTGTCATTTTTATTGTTAAGTTCAGAGATTAATTAGGGAGATGATGAGCTGGGAAGAGAGCTGGCTTTTGTTGATTTGAAGATCCAGGAACCCTTGGCCTCCATAGTGGCATCTTTGAACTCTTTCTGATTGCTTGATAGCTCGTGGAATAGAATCACGTGTTCTCTATAGATGTACTGCCTTCCACTGTGCCTGGCAGGCCTGATGCGTATGTGTGGGCCCTGCTCCTGTGCTCGATTCCTTAGATCTGCTATCTAATGATGAGACTATCCGGCTGAAAGGACCAAATGTTCGAAGATCCAGTTATCCAGGGATCCGGCGATCTGGCTCAAAGGACCAAATGCTCGGTTTTAAAGGTTTAGTTTATGGCTCGAACTACCAATTTAATAGTTCAGTGGATTAGTCTCTAGTCAAGATAACCTTAAGGGAAATAATAAGTGACAAGGCTGAAAACATGATGTATTTAGTAAAACAATGTTTATTATTTGTTAATAATTATAATAATATTGCAATGTTGTGGAGAAAGAAGATTAATCTATTGAAGTAATGAGGGTGTGTCCTTGCAGTCTTGATTATCGTGGATTCTACGGATATTAATGTGTATCTTGTAATTGAGGTTATGCTGATGTTGTAAATATCAGCTGGTGTAGTCAGTCAATCATGCTCATGAGGTAGCATGAGAAGATGGTGTTTGAATAAAGTATTCTTGATGTATGAATAACTATACTTAATATAGTGTAAGATGTTTACTGGAATTTAGTGAGTAATGAATTGTGTCTTTAATTATTTATGGGGGCAGTAAAGGAGTCTAGGCACAGGTAATAGTCATTAATGATAAGCCTTCGAGCTCTTCAAGAACGTAATGGTATATATTTATAGTCGATTAGTCGATCTATTGTTGTCCTTCCTTGACAACGTGCTTAACGCATAGTGACACTTTTGTCGGCTGTGAGGGCCTGTACGGTTTCGAAGTGTTAGTTCGAGAGAGCGTAAGTTTGTCCGATCGACTCTTGTGGGCCTATACGGGGTCAAAGCGTTGGTTCGACCGAGAGAATGTGAAATTGCCCGATTATTCTTGTGCAAGGTGTGACTAGCTTATTTATTAATATAAAAGAGGTACCTTGTAAACTGCTGACAAGGTGTGTTGATTGCTGCGTAATTAATGTCCCCTTTGATTGCTATTCCATTGGCTTCACTGTAATCACCACCTAATCTGCCGATTTCTTATTACTTATGCTTACGTGTATTTTTAACTAGGCTGCCGAATATATGGCCACGTGTCGTCTTCACAGTATACTAAAAACAGTGAGCGGCAATTACACTTAAGTGAGCGCGAAGTAAGATTACAACGAGCGTATGAGCCTTTTGAATACGCACACGAACCGAAGGCTTGATCGTTCCGTGGCGGCTCTGCTGAAAATACCGACCGTTCCATGGCGGTCCTGCTGAGGGCAGATCGAGACCCATGTGCCATGGCTTCTACTGGTACATAGTTAGATAGGTTCACTACGGTCGGTCACTGCGGTCGGGTCACGGCAAGATGTTAGCCTCAAGCGCAGTTGAGCAAAGGTAGAGCGAGCCGGTCAGCAAGAGAGGCTTTCAGCAAGAGGGATTTTCAGCGAGAGAGCGAGGTGCGCCGTGTGCTTACCTTATATCTCCACGCGGCGGCTCACTTAGCTGGCAACAAGCCATCGTCGTTGAGTGATCTTATAGTATATTAGATTTCATGTCGTAAAACTTGCTCGGACTTGCCGAGTTTTGTTTATAAACATTCGCCCTAGTGCGCGTCCCGGTCCGAGCGCGCGTGCCGTGCGCGTATGACCCACTTTTTCTTAAATTCTCGGAAACTGCGTCAATCTCGAACACGAATAAAAAGTTTAAATAGACTAATAAGATTCTATTTTGTCGATTGCTTAATTCTTATGTATATATTTAGATATATTTTTTACTTGCTGCATGTTAATTTATGATATTATTGGTATATTTATAATTTTAAATTGTAATGTTTAATTTTTTCTTCAAAATAAAATTATAAAAAAATTTTATATTCGTAATATAATTTAAATTACACCTATTGTCTAAATCCAATTGCCTTTTAATTTAAATTTAAATATATAAATATTTAATATACGATATAGACAATATTCAATGATCAAATTAAGAAATTTTCATAGTGCGGTTTTTTTAAGAATGAGTAATTAAAGTAATTAAATCAATTAATCTATGACGTGCCCAGAATAAATTAAATATGAATATTGTGACAAACTGATTATAAACGATGCTAAAAGAATGAAATGTAAAAACGTTACATTATTTTTCTAAATAAAAATATTATATAAAACGAAATAAAAATATTCTTTAGTTGATGTAACAGAAAGGCAAAATCTGTGAAAATATTTTATTTTAATTTTTCTTTTATTATCAGAGCAATTTAAATTATTCGAATACAATAAATAATAAAAATGTTTAATAAATAAAAATAATAGTGTAATATTAAAAATTGTTTTAAAAAATTAAATCCTACAATAAACTTTCTTGATACAATAAACTTTATTTAATTTGTAACAACGCTTATATTTGATTATTTTTTAATCCTTTATAGTATATGAAATACAAAAAATAATAATGAAATTTTTGTATTGTTTTCTACTATATCAAATGCATAATTCGTATAGTGTAATGGTGTTCAATTTACTTGTTCTATTTATTTCTGCATTTCTATAAGCACCGAACAGTCGAATCTTGTTACACGCTTACTTCCATGATAGTTGGGTAATTGTAAAAGTTTTAATCTGAATTCTAATATTTATTTGGTTGTTTTTATTAAATTTTTTTTAGATATTCATGCTTACATATGCATATATATATATATATACATTTATTTATTTATCTATACGGTGTATTATGAAATAGAATTGTGTTAAAATATTACTTAATTTTTAAACTTATTATGGATAATATATTGAAAGATAGTTTTTCTTCTGGTAAGAATTCTATAATCTTTTACTTATATTCGTTTAAATAAATTAAAATTTAAATATTGAAAGTATTCAATACAAAAATATGTATATTGCAGGCAGGAGGTTATGTCCTTATAAAGATAAATGTTACAGAAAAAATCCAATTCATTTTAATGAAATGTCACATCCGCACTGTAAGATTTCTTTATATTTTATTTAATGTATAAGATAAATTTATTTTCTATAAATATCTTAATTTTGTTTTAATTCAGCAATAATCTTAAAAATATTAGCTATTAAATATAAAATATTTATAAATCCTCTTTGTAAAATGTTTTAGTGGAAAAATTAATTATTAATCAGCTAGATTCACCTATTACAATACCAAATGATATTAACTTTAAATGTACTGATAAATCACTGCTATTAGATCAACTTACAGTCTTACAGATGGTCTTAAACAAATATAAGAATATAAATAGCAAAAGTCAGACTATAGAAAATAATATTAATCCACTAGAAAAAACCAATACCAATCAATATGATGTTAAAAAATTAAAAGATCTAGAAGTAAATAATAAAGCTATAAAACTTGATCTTTTAAAATCTGAAAAGGATGCATTAATTAGAAAAAGAGCTTCATCAAATAATATTGATAATATAAGTGAATCACACATTAATCCAATCTATTCATTTTATTCTAACATAGATATGCAAAGTTTTAATCAAAATTCATCTCCAAAAAAATCATGTATTGAAAATTGCAATTCATCCTATAGAGTAAAAAGAATGAAAATGAGAGATAATGCTATTTTAAAAATGAAAGAAGCTAGACATAAAATTCATTTATGTGTACCAGGAGAATTTGCATTAAAATATGCATTATCTTCTCCCTACTATTTCTTTTTAACTTTTGTAGAACAATCAGAGTCAACACATAAGCAAGAATTTACTATATCATTTCCTGAATTATTAGATATAAGTTTAGGAGAAATAGTTGATAGTCTTCATATAAATTTTATTGTAGAAATTGGATGGCTCTGTCTACAATATGTACTTGCAGCTCAAAATCCAAATATGACTATTTTTTGTGGTTCTGTTTGCGATCCCCAAACTTCATTACCAGCCAATATTAATTTAATTTTAGTTAATATGCCTAGCGCATATGGATGTCATCATTCAAAAATATCAGTTATTAAATATAGTGATAATGGAATACGAATAGTTATTTCTACAGCTAATATTTATAAAGATGATTGGGAAAATCGAACGCAAGGGTACGTTAAATTTAGCTATTAAAAATGTTTTTTATTACTCATACTGCTATTATAAATAGATAGAATATATTAATATAATGAATTAACTTTAAATTTTGTAACATATCTATTATGTAATTAATAAATTAAAGTGAGGATAATTGTATTGTAGAAATAAAATAATATAAAAAATGTATTGTAATATTTTATTTTGTATTCTTAACAGTATTTGGCTTTCACCACATTTATCACAGTTACCTGACTCAGCAAATTCTAGTGATGGAGATTCCCCAACTGAGTTTAAAAAGTACTTTATAAAATATTTAACAACTTACAAACAACCACAAATGAAAAAATGGGAACACTTGATTAAAAGAGCAGATTTCTCTGCTGTAAATGTATTTTTTCTTGCATCTACTCCTGGAAGCCATAAGAGTTTAAATTTAAATTCTTGGGGTCACAGAAGATTATCAACAATATTATCAGAACATGCAGTTCTACCTCCAGATGCTTCAAAATGGACATTACTTCTTCAATGTTCTAGTATAGGAAGTTTAGGATCCAACTATGAAGATTGGTTATTACCAAATATTGTTGCATCAATGTCCAAAGACAAGGCAAAAGAATTCAAAAGTAATCCAAATTGTAACCTTATTTATCCATCATTGAAAAATTACATAGAGAGTTTTGACTATAAAACTGGTTCCTGCTGTCTACCATATACTAAAAAAAATCATGAAAAGCAAAAGTGGCTGAAGAAATATTTACAGTATAAACAACCATTATTGTCAAATTTATTTAAATTATTTATAATTCTTTTTATTATTAACAGTTTATCTTAATTGTGATTCCATAATAAACTTATATGTATTTAATAAAATAATTTTAATTTTCTATTGTCTAGTCAATGGAGAGCAGAGGAAAATAGTCGAACTAAAGCTATGCCTCATATAAAATCTTATACACGAATTTCACCAGATTGTACACAAATACCATGGTTTGTGTTAACAAGTGCTAATTTAAGTAAAAGTGCATGGGGTACTACTGCTAAGTCAGGAATTTCTCATTATATTATGAATTATGAAGCAGGAATTGTGTTTATACCTAAATTTATTGTAAGTAATTATTTTATAAGTCTAAAAATTTGTTTATATATATAAACAGAATTTTATCATCTTTTAGTACTAAGTATACAATTTTAAACCTTTATTTAAGAAACATCAAAGCATACCTTCAATATTATTTATAAAATATGAAATATATTGTCAAAATTGAATATGATTTATATACTAATAAAGAAATATGTTATTTCAACAGATAACTCAAACTACGTTTCCAATAAGAAAATCAAATTCTTCAAAAATTCCAGTTTTTCGACTTCCATATGATTTACCGTTAACTCAGTATCAACCAAGTGATACTCCTTTTGTTATTGATTTTCTTAGCAATTAATAACCATTATTGAATAAATTAGGAAATGATTGAAATATCTTTTAACTTAACAGTTTTTGTATGAATAGAATATATTATTTTAAAAATCGCTTTAATTTTAAATTTAAATTTTAAAAGATTTCAATTTATTAAAACAATCTTTTAAATTCTTATTGAAAAAATTTCAAACATTAGAGACTTTTAACACATTTTTATACAGATAATACTAAAAAACGCTATTCATTTTATAAATTATATAATATTAAATAAAATTTTTAATATTGCAAATGAATTATTTAATTATACTAGTTGATAAAAAATTTATTTAAAAGTAATAAAACAAAATATGTAATATTATTAAAATAAAATCATTTTTAATGCTTTCTTTGTATATAATCGTCAATTATTATAGTTGATTGATATTTGTATATTATATTTGAAATAAAATGCTTAACTGTATAGTTTTCTAATAAACATAAAGTAAGTTTGAATCATTTATTTGATTTTTTCTTTATTTTTAATAATTTTATATTACTATTTAAATGTCACATTCAACTGAATTATAAATTAGCTAGATAATCTTTTAAATATATTAAAATTTTGTATTTACAGTTATGAATAATAATGTTTTTGCTAATTTTTGTACAAATTTATATCATCTGTCATATCTTTTATATGCTCAATAATAAATCTAGTTTAAGTATATTTTCTATTAACAATATTGTATAAAAAAGCATCCTTATAAATTCAAAGTTGCAGATTATTGCATTATAATAACAACTTCGAATTACTTATATTAATTATTCAGCATTCTTCAAATATTTTCTGTTCATGTAATAAATATAAATTTACATAACTTATTAATAATTTTATAATTTACAATAACTTTTAAATTTTTTATTTTTTAACGAAATAATCTTTAAAAACGGTTTCGGGTTATAATTGTTATATTTCAATAATAATAGATAAATATTGGTCAGATGTTTACATTTTGATTTCTCATAGATTTGCTATGTAGATAATATGAGTACTCTACTTATTTAAAACTGATAACATTTACTTTTATTATTTTAAATATTTAGATATGATAAACTTTACATATAATAAAATTAAAAAATATGGACATCTATTATAGGAATAAACTTTACGTAGGAAGACTATTAAATCCTAGTTTTGTAATTGTGCAATTAATTGTTATTTTTTATCTGACTATAGAATAGTTCCCATAGAAGCGAATAAAAACCAATCAGATATTTACATTCATAACAAGTAAATAACATACATAGATGAAAACAAATGATTACCAAAGAATTTAATTAGATGTGTGCATATTTTACAAGATAATTTGTTGAGATACGTGAAATTAAAGTCTAAATTTGACTATCGACATCATGATCATTATGAAACTCATATAATATAGCAACGATTTTATTAGTTTAGTTTACTTTCTTGAAACATAATATTATTTTTACAAACTTATATAAAAAAAATTGTAATTTGAATTTATCTTATTCCAAATAGATGTATAATAATTAATTTTGATTTGGAATTTTATAAAAAATTTTTTTTTAATTTAGATTTAAATATGAAACTTGAACAAATTATTTCAAAGTTGATTTGACCCATAAATAAATCAAATATTTTTATTAAAAAATATACTGCTATAGTATTTAAACATTCATATGAAAATATGAATATGTCCTGAAATATGACCTGAACTGTATATAAAATATTAGTTTTCTAATGTATTACATCCTAATAAATTATTTATTATGTACTTCCTGAATGTACTGATTGCACATTCTTAAGAAATTACTTGTGTACTTTGTGTATGTACTTATTATATACTTTATATATTTATTATATACTTTTTTTTTATTATATACTTATATTTTAATTGATTTTTTTTAATATACATTTTATATTAATTATTTTATTCATTCATTGATTTCTATTTTTTTTTTTTAAATATTAATTTGTCATATTTTTATTTGTTAAATAAAGTTCAATAAAACTAAAAATCAATTTTTTCTAAGATGATGTAGTGTTGATTTATTTTCACTATTTTTAATGCAGTAATAATTTATATTTGATATACAATATACATAAAACTATCTAACTAGAATATCAAACAATATCTTTGAAAACGAATAAACATATAGGTCTTAATTGCGCATGTCTGCAAAAGGTTCGCTATCTATACTTTATTAGAAAGGATTGGGTTAGTTTTTGGACGATATTGTATTTATTCATTCTTGTTGAAACATAACTGCGGCTTATTTAACAAATTTTTATTTTATTTTAATTTTATATTTTAAACTGATAAAAAAATTAAAATGCTTCATCGTTTCTTAAAAGCGACTATTATTATTGCTCAGAATAGTACCAAGCATCTGTCTACTACCTCGCAGGTGAGTTCATTCTTTAATACTATTATCCTACAAAAAGTTGTTTTGTTATTAAAATGAATTTCTTACTTAAGAATCAATTTAATATTAGTAATGGACGTATATTACATAACTAGAGATTTTTAAGAATTAAATTCTATTTAAGATGTACAGTTATTAGTTTTAATTGTTTACAAATGGTCAATTACAAGTTTCAATTGCAGTTCATACTGATCATTAGTTCTATTATAATATTTATATTTTAAAATATGACTGTTTTAACAAATATTATTTATAAACTTTAAGATATATTGTATAAAATGTATTTATATTTTATTCCTATATTTACAGTTTAATGCTAAGGTTACAGTTATGGGTGCCAGTGGTGGAATCGGCCAACCATTATCTTTGTTGCTTAAAGAATCTTCATTAATTACTGAACTATCTCTTTATGATATTGTAAACACTTATGGTGTATCTGCCGATCTTTCACATATTAATACTGCTTCCAAAGTTACAGGATTTGTTGGAATAGATAGAGTGAAAGATTCTTTGAAAGGAGCTCAAGTATTTATTATTTTATTATTTTAGTTTTAATACTACATATAACAATAATTAATCTAATTTTTCTTATCTATATTATCTATCTTATTTCTCTATTCTTATTTATCTTATCTATATTAATATAATTTAATATATAATATATATATATATACACATATATATATATATATATATATATATATATATATATATATATATTACTTAAAGTTTAACAAATATTAGTTTTATCCCATAATAATTAAAGAATATATTGTTTCTTAGTAAATTTAGTATTTATATATATTTTTAGATTGT